AGAAGGTCGCAAAAGATCACATGACCTTGGGATACAACAACGGTCATAAGTATGAACCAGTTGCCAAGCATCTGAATTTTGATCACATGATCATGGGGATGTTACAAATATCATAACTGTGAAAAATGGTCATAAGTCACATTTTTCATTGTAAGTTTGAATGGTCACTAAATGAACAGTTGTAAGTCAAGGGCTAACTGTACTACATCACCACACATCACAATCTCTTGCTATATAAAAGAGTCAAATAAAGTGAGAATAACTGCGTCAAACTGATCACATATATTACTCTGAGTCATTTCTGAAATCCATAATAAAACCAGCACTCTGTTGGGAGAGCCAAATATGCAGACAGGGAACGTTCAAAGTGTTCTCATATATTACCCAAAATCCATAAGGGATCCAGCTTATTATGCTCTTGTGAAGGAGCACTGCCATAGTAAGTCCATATTTCATAAATATTTTATAACCAGAACATGAGACTGGATACAAAATCCTTCGCACCATTGACATCCTATGTTACTGTGGCAAAAAAAAAATATAGAATTTATTGCATTGGTTAATTAAGTGGCAAACATAAAAATCTAGAGATGCATCAGAAAAAGAATATCTTAAGTTATTTACTTTATGCCTGTTACAAAAGCTATTGTCTAAATGCTGTATTTGTGCATTTGTGTACCACCAACATTTTTCCTAGTATTATGCATACACACGCACATACAAGGAAAACCAGGGACAACATTCAAAGCACATATACTTTGCTTTAATACGTCAAAGAGCAGTGTTTCATTCATATAATGCACCTTGCAAGACATCTCTTTTGTACATTTTTCATAGCCCTAGCCAATAGATAATAATAGAATACAGTCAAGCACATTATGTTTTGCTTATTAAGATAAGATGCTTGGTATATGAGGGCTGTGAATATTTAAAAAATCAATAGGCATACCTAAATTTCTGCACTTTTTCCCCTTTTCCTCTAATATAGAGAGTTTTATTTGCTTAATGGAATTTTCTCCCAAATATTTTGTTTGCTTATTCTCCTTTAGGCAGCCATGTGCAAATTTTCTTTTTTTTTTAAAGCCATATAGTTATAAATTAGAAGATTTTCTTTAAACTATAGTGCAAAGTATATAAGCTTATTTATGCTAATATAGTTAGTAAAATAGACATATACATTACATAATAATTATTTATTAGAATGGTTTAAAGCACTTTGTTCCTATGTCTATTTTTAAAGGAACTTTCTGATCTGAAAAAAGCATAGCACTTTTTGGCTGATCATTAAAAAAAAAATCTAATCTTTTCCAGACTTCTATGAAAGCCTGGAAAAAAGATGCCACTGGTTTAAGAAATCCACTCATTACAGTTCAGGCAAGTCTTAAAACAGTATCTTTTTTTTTTTTTTTTTCCCAGATCTGCCCAACAGCCTAACAGAGATTGGACTCTTTAATGAATAGCCAAGAGGTGTGATGCCTATAGTCAGCAGGGCCTCCAACTGTTTTCAAAGAATACACAATGCTACAATTCCATGCCAAATATAGACCAAAAGAATCTAATGAAAGTAGGGACAGAAGCCCATTAATACCTTAATTTAATTACTGCTTCTTGAGTTTAATTATTGATTCTCTCTATTCACATAATAAACAATGCACATTTAGAGGCGTTATCATTTTTCTATTGTGTTACATATGATTTCTCCTCAAACTGTCACCTCAAAAGTATCTGGAAATGCATTTATTGCCCTTCCCTCACTCCCTCCCTCCTGTATTTCTAACATAAATCCATAGTACAAGAACTAGGAAAATGTTACTATGCCATAACACCTTATGCATATTTAAACATAGCCAGATCAAGCTGTCATTAACTTCAAATGGTAATCTGAATTCACTACATAAAACATGATGTGTATGTTAAGAGGCAACTGAAAATACCACTGAACAGAAGGGGGGAGGGGAAATAGAATCAAATCTGACCATGGACAAAATCTAGATTAAAACAGCAGGGGGAAAAGAGTCAAGTACAGTAACATTAACTGGTAAATTTACTAACCATAGATTCAAACTGTGATTTATACAAAGATATGATTACATTCAGAACTGTCTTCTCTGAAGAACTACCTAAGAGGTAATGGTATTAAAAGTAAATCAGCATTCCCATTCTGATACTCTCCAAAAATTGGAATGGAAGCCTAACACCTCTACATAATGTGGAATATTATGGAAGGTCCCTGTAATAAGTAATTCTGTAAATCTAGAAAACTATATAAAATTATTTTTAGTTTATAATTTTTCAAAAGAAACTGCCAACCATATCACTGGAATCAAAATAAAAGAATATATATTAAAAGCAAGGTAATTAAAAGGAAGACAACTATTTCATATCTTGTTTCTGCCAAATAAAAAGGCCAACATTAAAAATAGGTAGCTAGATTATATTAATATGCCTTACATATTTAAAAGAGAAAAACACACAGTATTATTTAAGCACATGCATTCAGTTTGGTTAATTTACCAAAACATTATCCATTTATGTATCCTATTAATTAGCTTTACTTAAAACTGTCTTATTCAAAGCAAAAAATAAATTTATTGTATTCTCTTCCAAGGAACATACAAAATAAAGTTCTATTTTCAAAGTGTAGTAATGAAATAAAATTGTACTGCAACAAACATGAGACACTGTATTGACTTGTTAACTAATATAGTCTGAAGAACAATGCTATTGTGGTGGAAAAAAAATTAGGATGAAATGAAACAAAGAAATTGTATAGCTATGAAATATATATATATATATTACACATACTCATTTTATAGTTATTTACTTAAATATACAAACTGGAAAAATAAAATATTTGACTTTTGGACTTTTTAAACAATATGTCAATTAGAAAAAACAATATCTTTAGAATATAATTTAAATAAGTTGCCCATCTATAAGTTCACCAAATGTTTATTTCTAAATTTCGTATTTGGTTACTGAAATATTTGATAATAGAGTATGTTGTTTGTATTGCTATACAGGTACTCCTCAACTCAGAACTGTATTTGAGTACACTCATGTGTGAATACTCCAACACTGGAAGTTTTAAAGAAGAAATTGAACAACCATTTGTCTGAAATGGGGGTGAGCAGGGGGTGGACTAGAAGACCTCCAAGGTCCCTTGCAAATCTTGTTATTCTGTTATTCATAAGTCATGCTGGTCATTAAGCAAGTCATCACATGATTGGCCTGATTTTATAACATTTTTTCTGAGGTGGTCATTAAGCAAATGCCCCAGTTGTGAATCCATTGTTCACCAGAAATCTGACAAAAAAATGTCTTAAATTGTGGTCATGTGATTGTGGGATGCTGCAAATGGCCGTAAATGTGGATTTACATATTTTTTGTATTTTATATTTAATGTAATATGACATATGAAAAATATATTAAGGATTTTCATTTATAGCAGAGGAGTGCAAGGATATTCTATATCAGGGGTGTCAAACTTAATTTCATTGAGGGCCGCATCAGCGTTGCGGTTGCCCTCAGGGGGCCGGGTGGGTGCGGCCTACTGGGTGGGCATGGATGGAGTAGATGTGGCCTACTGGGTGGGTGTGGCCAACTCTACATTCTGGGGGCCTGGGCAGGAGTGGGATAGATCTGAGGGATAGATAGTGGCAGAAGGGGGTGGGACCAGCATGGTCCACTGGAGGAGCTTCACTGTTCCTCTCAGGCCATGCGGGGGGGGGAGCTTATGGAACGAAGACTGAATGCATTTCAGCATAGATGGCCACCACAAAATTGTACATTGGCTCCCAGCTGGCCTGGGCCAGGGCCAAGGCAGAGGGGGCCGTTCCCTCACTGTTTCCAGGATGGCTTCGCGGGCCACATGAAACCACTTCGTGGGCTGCATCCGGCCCCCGGGCCTTGTGTTTGACATGTCCGTTCTATATTGATTCTCTAGCATTAATTTCTTTGGGGATTCACAGAATCCTCATATTTTATACTTATGTACTTTTCTTCTTCAATGTAACATCTTTTAGAGATGTGAATAAAAAAATAATACTGAAAATGTGTGTGTGAACATATATGTATGTATGTGTGTGTATGTGTGCATAAGTCATAACTATTTTGGTCGTAGACCAGTAAACAATACTGAAAGATGAGTACTTCTTTATTTTATATGTTGTATAAAATATGTACTGCATTGATTTACAAAAATTTAGCCAAAACATGTTTCATTTTGCCTGCTAATATTAATCTACTTTTAAGTATAAATAAATGTATGCTCTTTTTGGAACACAATACACTTACGATGTTATAGAAACAAATCAAAAAAGAAAAAAAAAGGAAAAATAGAGGGAGGGGATAAGAAAGTAGATTAATATAGGTGAAGAAAGAAGGGACCGTGATAGGCTGCTTGCCTTAGTATTGATTCCAGTTCTGCTTTAGAGAATCCAAATATAGGTTAAAAAAAAAAAAAACCCTCTACCAATTGCCATACTAACTCCTAATTCATCTTTCCCCACTCCCAAACAATAGAAAGAGAATTGTATAGAATTTTGCAAGCAACTTCCAAACAATAAACTGGAGAATGACTGCTGGAAAATATCCACATGTCTTTTGAGGGGCAATTGCTCCCAAATATAAATATGTCTGGTGGACCCATTCTTATTTATCATGTATTCAAGTCAAATTAGTTTTTGTAATTGAATTCTGGGTAAAACCTGAAGGGGATAGGAATCCAATTATACTATTCGGGCTCATGTGTCAAATTTGGGGAATAATTCTGTTTTTCTTTTATCTATATTATCCTATATAATTTATTTGACAATAAAATATAATCTTTAGCAGCTGGTTATATTGTAAAAGTCTCAAATGACTAAATAAGATGTACATATACCTATTATATGAAATACAACATTAGCTATTTTTTTTAGATTGAATGAAATTTACTCCTTATCATTAATCAAAATAAATATCTATATGTAATTCGTTCTAATAAGAAAAACACATACCTTGATCATCCTAGAAAGGTCTCCAGCATCTGCTAATTCCAGCACGATGTTTAGTTCATTGTCTTCAATAAATGATGCATAATATTTGATTACATTCGGGTGGTTCAGTTGCTACGAAAACAAATATATTTCAGCCTATAGACTACTGTTCACAGATACAATACACCAGTAGTAAAAATGATAACTACTACTCTGCCATTTAAATCCCCCCCAAGTGGGAAAATAACTTTTCCTATTTTATAACTAAAATTATAATTAAAACATTATTTCATATCCATTCTTTCCATACTCACCAGGTTTAGAAAAGAAAAAAAAATACTTGGAAGAACCCCCAACTTACAAATCAATGCAATCCTTGTTAAGGCAGCGAAAGTAAACCAAACTCAAGTTTTCAGACTGTCCCAAAGGTGCGTTTTTTACAAGGCAACTGGACTTTCTTGTTTTCTTTGAAGACATTTCACTTCTCATCCAAGAAGCTTCTTTCAGCTTCTTGGATGAGAAACGAAATGTCTTCAAAGAAAACAAGAAAGTCCAGTTGCCTTGTAAAAAAATCACCTTTGGGAAAACCATGACCTGGATGACTAAAAATCTCCATAGACAAGTTTTCAGGATCTTCTCTTCTTTTATTATAAAATTAAATATATTTTATTTTTTAAATTTTAATTATATTTATAGTATTTATTATTGTAATATAAAATGCATTTTGTTTTTAAGATATAATACAATTATAATAAAATTAAATATTATGTTTTATTTATATATTTATATATTTATATTTATTTATTTATTTATAGTTTCACATAGTGGTTAAAGGCACTGGCCTAGAACTCAAGAGAGTAAGTTTTAGTCTTGCTTTAGGCCTGAAGCTACTTCATGAGTTTGGGCCAGTCATTTTCTCTCAGACCTAGGAAGAAGGCAATGGCAAAGCACTTCTGGAAGTCTTAAGAAACCTGCAGGGATTTGTTCAAGTAGTCACTAGGATTCAACATATTGGCTATACAATAGAATACAAATAACTGCTTAGTGACAATTAGGAAATAGGTTTTCTCAATGCTGAAACCTGTTCTTGCAAGGATCTATCTTCTGCCAACGCCCAATGTTGACATTTTTTTAAAAAAAAAATCCATTTTTTTTCCTGATAGTGGCTGATTCCAACACTAATTCTAGTGAATGCTGTTCTTGTCAATGAGGAATATAGCATTGTACATAAAACAATACATAAAATAATTTAAAACCTAAAGACTTTAGCTTTTCCAGTGCAAAGTGCAAAGGTTTATGTATCATTTCAGCATGCTGCAGAAGAAAATTATGGACAGATTAATGTACAATTGTACAAATAGTCTTTTGACTTATGACTGTAATTGATCCCCGAATCATGGACATAAGTCATGATGATAGTTAAGTGAGTCACCTCAGGACTTTTCTCAATTTTACAACCTTTCTTAGGGTTGCTTGTTATACAAATGTGGCAGTCATAAAGCAAAGACCATAGTCATTAAGCGCATCCATTGTCTGAAAATTGGCATTTTTTGCTGAAACTGAAGTAAATGCCAGTTTTTGGCAAAAAAATGTAGTAAAATGTGATCACATGACCTTGGGATACTGCAATTAGTAATAAATGTGGGGTCAGTTGCTGAGTTCCCAAAATGTGATCATGTGACTGTGGGCAAGTGACTTAGCCATCAGAATTTCAATGAGCTACGTGAGTAGCGCTGGGCAAGTGTGCCATAACGTTGCACGGTCACTAAATGGCCAGACATAAGTTAAGAGCTATCTCTATGAATAAAAGGTGTAAACATAATAACTGAAAAATAGGTTACATACCAAACCAATTACTTTACAACAGGGGTCTTCAAACTTGGCCCTTTTATGACTTGTGGACTTCAACTCCCAGAATTCCTCAGCCAGCATGCCTGGCTGAGGAATTCTGGGAGTTGAAATCCACAAGTCATAAAAGGGCCAAGTTTGAAGACACCTGCTTTACAAGGTTTGACAACAAAAAAATACACTAATTGGTTCAAGTGTAATTCAATATATATAAATCATTTCAGCTATGCGTTTTTTTTTTTGTGAATATGTTTATGTTCCCTGGCCAGCGCCTTCATCACACCACCCATATAATAAACCTATTTCAAAGTAAGGGAAGGCAGTAGAGAAAGTTAGCATGTTAAAAAAAAAAAAACTATAATCCATGAGCAAACACTGATCTTTTTTAAAATTATAGGTAACTTAAAATAAAATTTAAGTTATGTTCTAACTTAAAATATGACATATAATCCATTACTGTGTGGAGTAGAGACACGCAAAACTTATAAAATGTGTATGTTGAAATTAATTTCTAGATGGAAAGCCACATTAGTCTATAGAGAAAAATAATAAAAATTCATATAGGATCTTAGGTTTAAAGGTTGGATCAATTTATTATTGGGTAAAGTTCTTAAATTATGGCTCACTTCATCAAGTACATCTGGTGTATAGTAAGATCAGTAGGTGAGACCTGTTCACTCACACTTTTAAATAGCTGGAAGACCTCTGGTGCCTTTTTCAGGATTTATTCTCATTCCCCCAGGAAGCAAGTCACTAGGCCAGATTTCGTGTGCTTCAGATGAATGTGAATCTGACATAAAATTTTAATTCAAACTGACCTATTGACTATTCAGTGAAACTCTAAGCTAAGATAGCTTGCTACTCATATATAACCACAGGCACAAAATTACCTATATCCAATAACTTATTGCTTCTTTTATAATCAAAATAGTAATGCTGGAATACATTCATTTCAGAAAAGAAAAGAAAATTACCTTAAGAAGATCAATTTCCTTAATACAATCTGCACGTGCCTTTGCATCCATTAAATCAAATATCTTGTAAAGAAAATAAAGGGAAAAATTATTAGGCGATAATAGATTTACAAGAAATATGTGTTCAATGTTTTCTCTTTAAATGAAAATGTGCAAGATAAAAGCAACCCATTGCATTAAAAAATTCTCAAGTACTGAATCATGAGATATACATTACACAGGTTAAATTAAAGCCTCATGGAAGCCCAAGATACAAATTTGTGAGACAGCACAAATCTTTGTAGAACCTCAGCATGATTTACTGTTCCAGCTCTGCCTCCTTCACAGCAGGAGAGGTGAATAATTCTGCCCAGCATTTCTGAATGAATGGATCATTCAACCACAGTTATGCAGCAAAAACAGGTGTTCTTAAAGGAAAATCCTGGAGTCAGTGCTCTATGATCTCTTTACCCATTCATGAGAGATGCCCAGAAACTCACATTACATTCTATCACAACAAGTTCTATACAACATCAGTGTAAACCAGGGGTAGGCAACCCAAAACACTCAAAGAGCCACTTGGTCCCGTTTCCCACCTAAAACAAAATACTGGGAGCCACAAAACCCTTTTGATATCTAAAATGAAGATATATGCAGTGTTAATTCATTTTAGATGTCAAAAGAGTCTCTCTCTCTCTCTCTCTCCCCCCCCCCCTCTCTTTCTGCTGTTGATCTGCCGGTCCTCTTCTCCCTCTCTTTCTTTCTCCCTTTCTCTTTCCTCCCTCTCTCTTTCTCCTTCTCTCTCTATCCCTTTCTCTTTCTCTCTCTTTTTTCTCTCTCTCTCTCTCCCCCCCCCCTCTCTCCAATCTTCTGCTCACCTGGCAAGCTGGCTTCAAGCTGTTCTCCAACAAGCTCAGGGTAGGCAACCTCAGCTCTTTTATGACTCATGGCCTTCAACTCCCAGAATTCCTGAGTCAGCATAGCTGGGCTAGCTACCTTTCTCCTGCCCTTCCTGCTTCCTGCTGAGACGTAGCAAAGAGAGGAGCTCCGCCCAAAAAGCTTTTCAGCTTGTCAGAGAACACGGTGAGTCCACTCTTTTACACACTTACACACACATACACACACAAACACAGAGAGAGACAGAGAGGGACAGAGAGAGAAGCAGGGAAGCACAAGTGCCTCTCTCTATCTCTGTCTCTCTCTGCAAATGGCAGAGGAAGCTGGGAGCCACAGGGGAAGGCTCAAAGAGCCACATGCGGCTCCAGAGCCGCAGGTTGCCGACCTGTGGTGTAAACTTTTCAAAAATCATCAAGAGAAGTGCCTTAAATTTTAATTCAGAAAATGAGCGTATCTTAGTGGCATGACATTTCAGAAACACTGTCAGGTACAAATGATGAAATATGACATTCATGTTCTAAAAGCATTTTGGGATTATAAAATTGTGCAGCTAGTTTTCAATGATCCTATTTTATGTAAGGAAATTTTTTAAGATTGACTCCAACGCATCTACAATCTTTTGAGCAAAACAAGAGATACCGTACACATGATAATGATGCCAAGTGGAAAGGGTCAATTCTCATGCATCTGTATGAAGTCATAATTTTTCTCCTTCTTGTGTTTGTTTTTAAACTACATTAAGACCTAGTGCTTATACTGCTTTTTTATTTGTTTTTATCCAAATTTGCAGAAATTATGCTGCCAATAACTACAACTGCTGACAGGGATCTGAGGACAATTTATCCGTTCCTGATCTAAAACTAAGTTTCACAGTTATGATTAGAAATGCAATGGTTTTTTTTTATAAATGTGAAGCAACCAGGAAAAAAAAAACTAGAAATGTTAGAGGAAATGCAAAATATGCAACTCATTTTCAGCATTATTGTCACTTCATTTAGTTATTAACTTCATTGGTTTGTTCGTAAACGTATGTTCATTTTAAACATTAAAAAGCACACTTTGCTCAGATAATAACTGTAAACCTACTGTTTGAATTTACTTTTGAGTAAATTTAATTTTTGTTATAAATGAACTGAACTAATTTAAAAATATTGTTTCATTTTTCCTATTTTAAAAAAAACAGAGAAAAATGTAATGTTAAAATATCAGTAAATAACATCACATTAAAACAAAGGGACATATTTTTAAGAAATACAGGAAGCACTAATTGACAAAGGAAATGTGTGGGTGAAACCAAAGCTTAAAATACTCATTTTACCACGAAGCACTGCATAGTCAATTTTAATTTCTGACTCTACTATTTTTTACTTCTTTTGTAAAATATATCTATACAGTATTAAGAAGAACGTTTCTACCCTTTCATTTGTTAATTTGATTTAGTGTGAAAATTCCAAATATAGACCTTTTCATCTTAATTGCCTCATATAGTATTTTAAAAAATTAGGAAATATTCATAATACCATTTTTTAATCTGACAGAACAAGCAAAAAAGACCCTGGAGCTCTTTAAAAAAAATCCAAATATTTTCTCTCCCCCTCCCCATTGCTTTAATCAAGGATCTAGAAAGCCAAACATCTTCATAATTAGTTTCTGCACAGGACCATCTAATTCATTTTACTATTTCAGTGTATGCATAAATTATAATAATGCACAGAACATTTACTGATATAAGAAGCCTTAAGTTCTTTTAAAAAATAGCAGTGACAAATTTAGTGTTCCCCTTACATCATAATTTTTCTTGACAAAGATTCTTGTCAGGTTCCAACAATCAAGAAAAACACATAGTAATACTTACAAGCAGATTTGTTTATTGTTCCACACCTGTAAACAGAATCTTGCCAGACTAAAGCAGACTATTACCTACAGGAAACATATTCTGGGAATTATTAGGGAGGGTCATCTTCACCTCTTTCTATCACACACACTATCTAAAGAAGTCCCTTCTTTCTTTGGAATGCACCCCTCCATCCTGGGAATCCAGACTACATTCTATCAAAGATTTCTCCCTAGCCGTAAAAAATCAAGGATAGTATTATTCCAACTGAACTCTCCTTCTGATTCCATTCCCAGTTCTTCTATTCTTAATATGTTTACATTTTATTTCATTTTCTAACTGCTAGGAATCAGGAATACCATGTGTACACATTCAAACTTTTAAAACTAAAGGAGTAAAATAGAAAGAATACAACTTCGAAAGCCCAGACTAACTGCATTCAGTACTGAGCAATCATTAACTTTCAGAAGTAATGAACTCTAATATATAATTTATCCACATATTTTTAAGGTATTGCTTCTTATATTTTTCCTTAAATATCTTTATTAAATTTCAAAAATCAGTATTAAAATACAAACTAACATAAAAGGAAAAGGGAATGGGTTAGGCAAGGGGTAGGCAACCTTGGCTCTTTTATGACTCGTGGACTTCAACTCCCAGAATTCCTGAGAGAGGGGACATGATAGCAGTGTTCCAATATATCAGGGGCTGCCACAAAGAAGAGGGAGTCAAGCTATTCTCCAAAGCGCCTGAAGGCAGAACAAGAAGCAACGGATGGAAACTAATCAAGGAGAGAAGCAGCCTAGAACTAAGGAGAAACTTCCTGACAGTTAGAACAATTAACCAATGGAACAACCTGCCTCCAGAAGCAGTGAATGCTCCAACACTGGAAGTTTTTAAGAAGAGACTGGACAGTCATCTGTCCGAAATGGTGTAGAGTTTCCTGCCTGAGCAGGGGGTTGGACTCGATGACCTCCAAGGTCCCTTCCAACTTTATTATTATTATTATCATCATCATCATCATCATCATCATTATTATTATAGCACAGAACACATTTAAACAAACTATCTCTTCTCCCTTGTACAATGTTCAAGGCAACAGGTGAGCTGTGTAGAAGTATTTTTATTCTACCCTGCTCATCTTCTTGATCCCAGTTTGGGAACCATTAGCTGAGTGGTGCTTACCATGCTTCTTTATTCCTTTGCATCCCCCAAATGCCCTAATGGAAACAAACCATCTTGGAGGATCCAATCTGGGTCTTCTGAACTTTCAGATTTGTGTTGGAACATCTCTCTCTGCTAGTGTCCGAAAGCTCGGAAGTCCATGAGTCATAAAAGAGCCAAGGTTGCCTACCCCTGGGTTAGGGGTTTGTTTTAATGTGATTTACAGGATAAATGAAACAGTGATGACATAATACATCATTTTCTTTATATTGTAAACTATTTTGAGATGCTTCAGCATAGACTACACACACATGCACAAACAGACATACCGTCTTTTACTGGAATTTTTTGAAAATACCTTTCACCTCATGTTAACAATATATCATAACATGTCAGTAAGAATGTTCTTTTTAATTTCCAGGAATCCTAAACAAATTGTATTTCAGAAATAGGAAATTTCTGATTATTGAAAAAGCATTTGTGTGATGTAGGACTCATAATCAACTTTCAATATTCAACTTTCTTCATTTTTTCCCCTGAATAGCCTGATGTATCTAATAGAAAGAATTATAAATATATTTTAAGCCGTTCTAATTGTTAAAAAATAACAAGTTTTGAGTTTTATTTATCACTGTCATATATTGCAAGTTCTATGATGCAGAAAGTACCGCCTCTAATTTGAAAGTTATGATTCAGGAAGGAGACTGAGTAATATTGCAGTACAATAGTAGGATAGGTCAACAGAATGGAATGCGAAGATTAAAGCTTGACAAATGGAAAGGGGGAATATATTCAGGGTTTTTTTTTAATACATACTGCAAAGGAGGTTAATGTAGATGAAAAACTTAGAAGTATAGATTTACAACTTCAGGTTTACAAGTGAGCACATACAGTATCTGTATTTACTGTAGACCTTTAGACAAGAATGCAAAATATTCTATTTTAGAATACTTTGGTACCAAAATTCCAAGATTTGGCACATATAGATAGCCAGCTTCCAAAGATCTGACTGCTTCTGAGAAGATCTAATGGACTCACATCGCTATTATTTGTCCAGAAGAAATCTCTGAAGTTATTGAGCTATGCTTTACCTCTAGCACTTCACATCTGATTCTGGCTCTTTCAAATTTATTTGTACACAATTTTCTCTCTAGCTTCTTGATCCATCACTTTTAAAAAATGGGTAGAT